AATCTAATGAAATACGGTTATTTTAAAGTCGTAAGGGGGACGTCACAGTTTTTACAATAAGGGTACCAGATGTCAATGTAAATACTGAGAAACTGTTAATAGGAAATCATGCTTTACAAACTGAGGACACGAATAAAAAAAAATACGGAACTCATTACGCTCTTAATTTGTACTAATAATTTGCAATAAAATACAAATTGCTCGTTTACTAATACATTAAAATAAACTAACTTAACAAATCAAATTGTCAATTCTTTGTACCCAACTGTCTAGGTTCGAGCCCTGGATAACCTAACACGTATTACTTCACTTCTCTTTGTCTTTGGTAATTGTTTTCGACAATATTATCACAAGATATAATATATAATGATTTAATCAATACATCAAAGTTTGACTGGTTTATTCTAAGATAATGACTTAATGTTGACATGACGATTTTACAATAAGGTATATTTTTAAATCAATGCTATTATAATAAACTATTCACTTTGGACGTACATATAAATGGGAATACCCATAGTCAAGGTTAAAGTGATCGTAGAACAAAATTTTTCTCAGAATAATTTATACTTGATAAATAGCATTATAAATTGAATATTACCCGAGTTCAAATTCACATACGAGTTGTTTAATTTTACTTGAAATGTTTACGTCAAAATTACTAATTAATATTTTGTTCGATAACAAACTTAGAAACTTTCAACTTGTTCTTAGCTATCAATAATAATAATACTAGTAGAGATCTTAGTGTGGCGATTTCTACACTAAATAGTAATTTATTACCGTTAGTATACGAATATTGCTTAGCATAATACTATGAGTGTTGAACAATCTACGGCCGTAAAACATCTTCGCCGAGCTCTCCTTCGTACAGTGAAAGTAGCCCCGTCTCATAAAATGCAAACACATGTAGATGCTCACACGTGACTTTTTGAGTACAACTAATGTAATAATTACTTGCATATTCGGATCGAATGTTATGCCAATGATTCAACACAGACTTTTTTTTTTTTGATATTTGGTTGGTGTGCATAATATATTTGTGTTCAATAACTCACTAATACATTTGTTATTTACACAATAACGTATTGAACTAAAAACAATATACAATAATTTTGACTGCCGCGTAAATTGNGGACTTTTTTTTTGATATTTGGTTGGTGTGCATAATATATTTGTGTTCAACAACTCACTAATACATTTGTTATTTACACAATAACGTATTGAACTAAAAACAATATACAATAATTTTGACTGCCGCGTAAATTGACAAATTTAATTCCATACTATCACGACCTGCTTTTGCAAATATATCACACATTTTATGTTTATCCGTCGACCTACACCAAAGAATGCGTTAAACCGGATTGAATTGCACTGGAGTCTTGTGTGAACGTGAGACGAATACTGTGATGCTTAACATGAAAAAGTGTTTGGCAAAAGATATCATGTTCAAGCTATCATAATGAATTCTCGAGTCACGACTATTATTCACTGAATTTTTGGCACAATACTTTCGACTTCGGAGAATGATGTTGATTCCAAAATCTTTTAATTAAATGACTAATAAATAAATAATAAAAGTGTATGACTCATTTGTACAAATTAAAAATCTTAGCCAAATAATATTGAAATATCCTGATAGAAGAATACGTGAAACAGCTTGATATCGACAACATGTTCATCAATTTTTTTATACTCGTAATGAATTTACTCTAACTTTTGTCAAGGGCTTTTCTAGGCGTTCGTAAATAAAAAACAGGAAGCTGTTATAATTATTGATTGTTTTCATAAGGTTATGAAAATATTTCTATAGATCTTTTCTTAACATACTTTAACATATATTATTATAACAATAATAGAAGTTTATAAAATATATATTACACAATTCGCAAAATACTTTGTGTAAGTATGACGACTATAAGAAATTTGATTTTTCTTTTCAAAATTGTTGCCTGCTTCACTATAATAACAATTATGCCTAACAATAGTGTTAAATATAAAATTTATAGGATAGCGTAAGGTCAACATATAATTAATTAATTGTGCACTTTTCAAAACATTATCTCATATGTTCCGTTTCCATAAAAATTTTGTCCTAGAAAATCTAAATTTTTTAACCATTATTGGTAATTTGATTGTGAACCACAGACGATTCCAATAAAACTTCCTCGATCTATTCAGAAATACATCTAATAAAAATGTATGCATTATCATAAATTTAAAAAAAAAATCACTGTTTTCTTTTTATAAGATGTACTCAAAAATATATTTTTTCTCTTCGTCATATTTAATGAAATACCATTTCATGAACTCTTAGAATTGTTATTTTAAAATTTGTTATTTAATATTTGAAACTCATAAACATCAATTATACCAAAAATTAACTTAATTATATCAACCGAGGTATCCAAATAAGTAATGTATAAAAAGTAATTTTTATTTATGCGAAATAAAACAACCTGCAAGTAATTTATTGTATTACTGGCAGTAATGACGAATAATTTCAGAAAATAAAATATTATGTGAATTTCGTTATACAAAACTAGTCGCGGAAGTAAGCACCAGCCAACAAACCATCTTTTAAAAATCTAACAGGTATGTGTACTCGCTACATTACAAAACACATTGTCTTGGTTAATCATTAATTTAAGTCAGCTTGTTTATAAATAAAGTCCAATTAATCCATTACTTCTAAGTATAATCTTCAAAATGGTATATGTTGTATAAAAAAATTCTTACAACTAACACCATTGCTCCAATCCTTAACAAGATAATTTGAGTTTAACACAGATAATAAACAATAATAAATCTCACTGCAGTGAAATATTATTTTATTCTCAAATTTTATTTATAAATGGAAAATATTGCCTTTATAAATTATCGATTGTGATTATAATCACATTCAATATCATAACGAATAAGTAGTTATGAAAATAACAATAAAACGGAATATGTTGAATGTAATTTGAAAAAAAAATGTCTCCAAATAAAATAATTTTCACAAAACATATTGATAATAATAATAATTATAGTATTTTATTGAAGGTGTAGATTAGTTACAAAAAATAAGATATAAAACTAATAATTATTACTAATTTGCATTATTTTTGAAGAGATGATGAATTAAAAGCCAAATCAAATAAACCACAAATAAGATATCGGCTTTTTCAAAAACAATTTAGATTATTTTTAATTTAAATGTATAATCGAAATATGAAATGGTTAAAATTGTATTAGTACAAGTTCAACATTCAAACATAAATGCACATTCTAAATACAATTTAATTCGACTTATATTCTTAACTAAATTTTCATTCTAACGTAAACTAACTCTACTATGTAAACTAAGGCCGTAACTATAATGTGCGGGGCCTAAACCATTTTTTAAATACAATAGCGCGAGCCCCAAACATGATGTTTAAAACGCGGGGTCAGGGGCGTGGATTCTGCTCGCCACGGCTTTAGGATGACCCTATTTGTATATCCCTGACATCTCTACACAAAAATAATGGTTTCATAAAATTGTAAAATTTCTGCAAAGGATACATTACTGGATAGGTTAGGCGCAAATCAAAGAAATTTTTTTTGGATGTAATTAGTTTACAAATATTGATATTTTACGAAATTTTCATTATTGGATAGTAGCCAATTTATTATTTCTATTGATATAGATTGAATATTCTTATTAAAAACAAAATCAATTTGAAATAAGCATAGTTTTTCAAAATATTATTTATGTTCATAAGTAAAACCCCACAAAATAATACAGATGACATTTTCTGAATAAACATAATATGTTTAATGATTCTTAATATTGAAAGTTTATAACTAAAATACTTGTTTTTTGGGATAAAATTATAAAGGTTAAAAACTCTAATAATTAGACTTTTTTCTGTAAATAATGCAATTCCATTTGAAACTTTAGACAAATTAACTCACAAGATTAATATGATAATGCAATATATAGGCTATGTAAAGGGTAGAGTGAAAGAGGGCTGAGGGGATAAGCTCCTCACAGTTTATCACTTAGTCATCCAAGAAATTTAGCAAAATTATATTACATAAAAATAATTTTTAGAGGAGGAAAAATTTAATTTATGTACAGTTTCAAATAAATTAACTAGATTATAGAGAAGAGGGATAACTATTAAATTAATTAACTATGAAAAAGTTATACAAATAAAATAATATTATATATCAAAATAAATTTATATTATCATAAGTTTAATATATAATTATGAATTTTTTCTAATATTCAAATTATTTTAGCTATTAGATCTCTGAGAGAAAAATCCTTCTCTTTTTAGGAAAGTTAAATTATAATAGTTTTTCTCAAGCTGCTATTTAAAAAGTAAAAAGACATATTTCATTATTAAGACTTAAAACGATTTTGCCAAACCTTCAGTAAAATGTTTGTTTATTAATATCCCTAGTTTACTCATTATTTTAATATTTAAATTTAAATATCTACCGAAATAGTAGTCACGATTTTCTTTTATATTCAAATTTAACTCAACCCTAAGATAATTTGCATATTAAAAGAATGTCACTGAAGATTACAATTAGATAATGAAAGAAAGAAAAAAAAAGAAAGACTTCACTTAAACTAACACACTTAAATTATTTTTAAGTATTACATGTCATTTTTGAAGTTTAATAACACATTTTATTTTTAAACAATAATATATTGACCAGAATCTAAACATCAATTACAGATAGAACAATTAAAAAAAACACCAACTTTTAAACAAGTTATTTTTTCAAATTTGAATCAGATAAAATTGCAAAAATAAAGAATATATCACAATACAATTTAAAAGTAAAAAGATGTAGAAAATGAAATAAAATATTTCTATTAATAGTAAAACATATTGAAATTAGACCTAGCTGATGACAAAAATTGCCCTATTCAGATATTATTTACATTTCTATACAACCCTCTAATTTTTTATTTTACTTATTTACCCAATCCAATATTTTTAACTAACCAAACATACCTGACAACAGTTCGCTTTTTTCATACATTGCCATAATGGCGGATGGATTTTAAACGTTTGTACACAAATCAAATCTTAATCTTCAACCAATCATTTTACCGAAATAACCAAAACGCACAGGTTAATTTTACACACGATTAAAAATACGCTGTCAAGATTGTCCACTCAATTACAATAAACCGTGTAACGCACAAGACTTAACTACAGCTGAACCGCGTGTCGCGTACATCGCCGGCTTACGATTTCTCGGCTGGTGTTGTTTTTGCCTCCCACCAAAAACCATGTTTAATCACTGAATTATACTCAGTGATTGCGTTTGTTTTTACCAACAACGAATGCGCTACCTATTTTTCATAATAATAATCTTTAGTTTAAAAATAGGCATATAGATAGGGAGAACGAGGTTTTTATTAACACACTATTTTTCAACTAAGTATTTTTCATAAAAAATATTCAATATTGAAAAAAAAAATTATTTTATTGTATATACGGACTATTAAAAACAAAATTCGCTACTAACAGTAAGCGTTAAAACATTCGCTGCTAAGTTTCTAATTTGTCTTAAATGTCTATGCTTAAGTATATATATTTTTGGATGATCTAGGATTTAGCTCTTTTGAACAGGCGACTTGCATAACTCGGTCGACAACATGTCGTACCTCGCAAGTAACCAAGCTCGCCGAACAAAACTAAGAACGCTTCCTCTTCCTTCAAATGTTAGGCTTCACATTGAACACAATCCTTTCTTCAAAATTTATTTGAGCCTCCACATTTTTCTCATTTCCCAATCGTATTCGTATTGACACATTCACACAACTGCGGATTAAATTTGAAAAAAGTGAATCTGTCTACTGGTAATTGCAAATAGCTTTTTAATTACTTTAGAAATTATTCTAATATGCTAAAAAAATAAATGATTGCGTAGATGGAATAAAAAACTGTATGTGTATAAGAATACTTTTTACCTATGTTTATTCAACAATTAATATAAAAAACTCATAAATGTATTCTTGAGAATTTCTCCCATACAATTTATTTGATTGCACGTTTTAATAAATAACTATAGGGGCGCAAAATAGGGAAAGACAAGAAGAATTTAGCTCCCTCAGAAAATTTTTTACTCACTTTCATACATCACCATCTTATAAAAAAATCTAGTATAGAAAATGTTTTGCCTTGAAGTGCATCATAATTAGATTTAAGTCTCTACCTTAATAATCCATCAGGCTTTACGGACCCCTGTACCAGGAGGGCAGAAATCGAAGTAGAATATATCCTCCCAGTTCAAATAATTAAATGACAAAGATATTTTTTTTCCTCTTAAAATATATATATATGCATGAGGTGCGCTATATATATATATATATATATATAGGGAGAGAGAGAAACAGATAGAGATAGAAAGAGAGAGATTACATATAATGCATATACATATACAATTGTGGGGAGGTAAAAAATTTTTTAATTTATATAAAATCCCATCATAAAAACCCCGGAAATGTAACTGCATTGAGATATGTTTTTGATTTTACGAGGTTTTAAAAACTAACTTTAAAATTAGTTATAATTATTAAATATGCCAACATAACCATATTTAAATAATTTGGTCATATCTGAGGAGAGAGAAATCGGAAGCTATAAGAATCGTTATGAAAATTAATGTTGAAGGAAGACCTAAAACGAAGTGGTTGGATATAATTGGGGGTGATATGAGGACTGCTGGTGTGTGTATTGATGATGTGGAAGATCATGTATAGTGGAGGTTTATACTACCCCAAGTAATTGGGCAGCGAAGACTGGAATATCTACAGCTCAGGAGGCACAATTGTGCCGGCTCTGTTCGCTTTAAAAATTATCAAAATAAGTGTTTATAACACCCTGAAAGTTATAAATACCTATTATATTTTAAAATTCAAATTGCTGTTAATTATTTTTATTGCCCCAGGGGACAATTGCACTTTTGCTCCCGTGGCTAATCAACTTTTGTAGATTTGATAATGGCGAAAAAGAAGAAAATATGTCAACATAATATGTTGGCATTAATATTTATAAGAATAATGATATCTCTTATCATTCTCAACCATTGTAAATAGTATTACGACAGAATAGATAATATATCATATAGTCGGTGGTAATACCGCACAGATTTAGATAATAAACTAATAAATAATAGTTTATTATCTATATATGTGTATTACCGGTAGTCGGTATTAAATATTATTACTCCTTCAGTTATATTAATTTTTTAAAAACATAGTATTATTCACACATTTTCTTTTATTACTTGATTTTGTATATTTCGTATATTTATTCATGTATAAACCTTTAACTGTTTGAATATTATAATTTTGTCAAAAAATAATTTTGTGTGATTTAGAATCATCAAGTTTTAATAAAAATAATTGGACTGATTAAAAATGTACACTAAAGATTATGTTTTGTCGGTAATATTTATTCAATTAATACCTTTATGTGAAAGTTTTTAATCATATGTTATTTTTTCTTTCAGACAAATAGATTTTACAATAACGAAAATGGTTTTGAGTTAGCGGTAAATTTACACATATTGTAAATCTGTAATTAAAATATGTAATTTTATTTTATTTTTTATTTTTGTCTTACAGAATTTTTTTTCATTGCGAAATAATTCATCTAAAAAATGGAATGAAAAAAATAGTATTGCTAATTTACAAAGAATCTCCGAGGAAAATGAATTAGATTTTGAAAGTGAAATTGTATTGCATTTAAAGTAAGTAATATCTGATTTTTTACAATAGTTTAATGTAAATCAATAAAAACAAAATAATTATAGTCATTTAAAGAGTTTTCCTCTTCCAAATGATGGGGTTTTGTCCCTATTAAAAAAAAGCATTTAATGTACTTATCAGGTAATCATAAAACGGTTAATACTGAGCATATTTTAATTTGTTAATACTATGAAAATGAACATCCTGTAAATCATTACTTTTGTTCTGTACCTGCCCAATATCACTGTAAGTTTATGTGATGAAATGCCCTTTTTTTTATAAATTTTTAAGTATTTTGTATATATTACATTTTATATAGTGTTTATTTAAAATGGAAATATTTGGTTTAAATACTTTAAAATAATAAAATTAAAAAATAAATTTTTTTAATGAATAAATTTAAAGATATTACAAAAATTTGGGTTGCTATTAGAGAATTAAAAGTTGATACAAGCTTATGGTATAACAGTTAGTAGAAGAAAATTAATTTTTCATGTAAAACAGCTCAACAAAAAACCATTATTGTTAAATAATAAAATAATGACTAGCTCTAGTTATTTGAGTATATTTTGTGAAACGTACTTAAAGAATCACCATACATATTATTTGATGTATTAAACAGCAAAAGCAGCAATCTTATTTTTGTATTAAAATTATAAAAAAATATAAGAAAAAAAGAAGATTATTTATTTTACACGGAACATCCATTTATAATTTTTGCAAAGTTATTAAAATAATTATGTTTTTGTTTAAAGTGTCTTAAAAGCAATTGAAGAACAAAGATATGATGATGCTTTTAAGGGACAACTTGCAATTTTACAAAATATTGTGAAATATTTACAATCATCTGACAATGAAAATTGGATGATCCCACTCACCAATACGGTATATTATTTTATATCATAACTATTCAAACTTAGCATTGACACAATAAAATAAAATTTAGTTAAAATATGACATATTTTATCTAAATTAAAATTTCATACATTGTATGAAATAAAAATTATCATAGTTTAATAGATTTTCTATGTTTCATAAATTATTTTATTACAATACAAGAATTGTTACTAATTAGTTACATTCTTTTTCATCAGTATAGGTTTACTAGGGCCTATACTAATATCTATAAAGCCTATACTTTAAATCAGGGTACCAAATACTTATGCTATTTGATAACCTTTCTAAGCAACCTATATTTTATAGAAAATTTATAGGACTTAAAAGACATTTATTCTTAAAAACCAATTTTTAATTCAGATTAAATATAAAAAAAACGTATGAAAATCCTCCCTTAAATCCTAAGTAAATTAGTATTTTCTCTTTTAAGTATCAATTTAATTAAACTAAACCAATGAAAGGCATCATAAACCCACTTTAACATCCTTGTACATACACATATGATTGTGAGTATATTTTTTAAACTAAGTGAAATGAATTTCACACAATGAAAATATTATACCCTCAAGTTGATTGTATATTTAATATTTTCCTTACCAACTTAGCAACTTATAACTATCAAATAATTACTTGTATAATGCCATATCTTATTAATAAAAATATTTTTTTTGCGGTTATGTAAGAATATTTTTAGTGATTTTTTATAAATTGTAATTATTATAACATGTTGTCTCTGTTTCTAAACAGTTCAAAATACTTATAAAGATGTTTATGAGTTACATTATAATGCTATATATCTATTTATTTAATACTATGCACTTTTGAATTGACAAAATTATAAAAAAAAAAAATTATTTTAATCAATAACTAGAGATTATTTTAGCTTTGATGCGAGGCTGAGAAGGTATTAATTTTACCAAGTTGTTTTTTGTTTTTTTTTTTTGTATCTGTCACTACTTTTTCTCAGCTTTCACTGGATCAATTTTTCTCAACGGTACGTCAAAAAATCACAAATTGTATCTAGTTGAAGATATTATCCTCAAAAATTAAAAAAAATTCCCTTTCTGCCCGTAAATAGTAGAAATCCCTCAAAAAATTATAATTTTTAAAATCGTTAAATTTTGACATTCTTTTCTAAAAATTGCCATAACTTTAAAAAAAACGAATGAAACAAAATCATTTTTTTATATATTGAAACTTTAAATATTTTCCTTTCATTTGATAACCTTTTTTGAAAATCTAACACTTAACCAGCTCACAGAGCGGAATTCAAAATAAAACTTTTAAAAAACTCAACTTTTTTAACTTAAATTTTGAAAATTTTCTGGAAATACTGCATTTTCTAAACATATGTTAAAATAAAGCTTATTTGATGTACTAGAACTTCAAAAAAAAGAAATGTGTATCGAAGACCTATTATCTATGTGCAAATTTCAGAAAAACAAAAAATGAAAGATATTTTTGCTTTTAGAATAATACACCAATTTCTTAAAATTAAGCACTATATACAGATTTGTATCGATATATTTCTTATGATAGTGATTATATTCATTGTCAGATATCATCTATACTTGTCTCAACTCTGCCACGTCCATACTGTGTCACAACCCCATTGTGCTAGCATTTTTTTTTTTTTTGAAATCTCATTATTTACCTAATTTTAAATGCTAGGTAAATACTACATTTTATTACAATTATTAAATTAAGTTAATTAATGATCAAACATTTTTTAGATTTGTGTTGATCTTAGATATCTTTTAAATGCGTATGATAAATTTGATACTACAAAAAAAAGTGTAAAAGCAGAAAGATATAATGATTTTCAAAAAAAATTTATTGATGTCATGATGATGTATTTTCGTATATGTTCTGGAGATATGTGAGTAATTTTTTTTTTTGTATAAAATTTAATGATTCTAGTAAAAATGATTCAAATTAATATTGTTTATTTACAGTCGGGCACCATCTCACCTTTCAAAGCGCTGGGCAATGATGTTCATTGTTAATCAAATGTTACAAGTATATCATAAAATCAAAAAGTTTCATTTGACTACTGGTTTAACAAAAACTATATTTATGTGTCCAGACAAAACAATATTTCCTGTAGCTCATGCTGTAACTTTTTACTATTTTACTGGCTGTAAAGAAATATTTGAAGGAAAATTCAATAACGGTTAGAGTTAAAAAATAATTTTTCTTAGTTGCTTTTAATTACATATACATTAAGTAGACATCAAATAATAATAACAAATTACACTTGGTAACAATAACCAAGTATAATAAAATATACTTCGTACCTATCAAAGTCTTTTAGATTTAAATAACCTTTAATAAACTTTGGTTACCATCTTTTATTTTCTGTCTATAATCAGCATATTATGGATATTCTGGAACTGCTCTGTTCCACATTACTTCAGGTTGCCCACACCGTCGCTAAAGCACACTACCATAAGTTAGTACAGTCTAAGGCTACTATATAATTATAATCTTTAATTTATAAAAATTTTATATAGTTATACAAAGAAATAGAATTTTTTTAAATTGAGAAATGTTGATTTAGTTACTCTTTTTCTTAGTAAATTACTAGCTAAAGTAGCTCAAGTAGAGTTGTCATCAGATCATAATTTTTAAATTACTAGATTTTTTTTAAGATTTTCTATACAATTAAAAAAAACCCAGCACAAGGGGGTCGCGGCACAGTGGTGACGTGGCATAGTTGGATCAAGTATAATGATATCTGACAGTGATTAAAATCACTATAAAAAAAAAACGCTTCGATGCAAATCTTTAGATAGTGTTTAATTTTAAAAAACTGGTGGATTATTCCAAAAGCTTCATAAACTGCTAGTTCCTTATTAATATCCTGATTAAGATAAAGTATGTCGAATGAAAAAGGGATTATTAAAAAATAGTATTTCCCATAAAAAAATTATATTGATCAATACACTTTTCAATAAGTTATAGCATTATAAAGTTAAAAATGTAAAAAATAAAATTGAGAATTTTCACACAATAATAGCATTTGGTAGCCATTTTCACCGTGAAGACAAAATAAAGTCCGAAATTTTTTTTTACATAATAAAGTAGATTACATTAGCTTTAATTTAA